GGATCCTTAGTAATTAAGTGCAGTCATATAGTTCTTGCCATTAGGAAAGAAACTACATTTCAATATGTGTGTTAATTGCATTTCACAGGGAAAACATTGTTCTTATTTAATTATTAGCCCAATTTGCTCCATATTGATTTTCATTTCATTTTTTTTGTTTTGTTTTTTTGTTAAGTCCTACCACCCAGATCAGGGTATACAGCTTTCGCAGTACTCAGTATGTTCATCCTTATGCCCTTTCCTAGTCAGTATTCATCTTACCTTGGCTACTTATCCTGACTTTTGTTACCATCAGTTAGTTTTGCCTGTTCTTGAATACCATCGAAATGGAATTGTGTTGCATGTGTTCTTTTGTGAATATTTATGATGGTTGTGCATGTTGTTAGCTACATGTGTTTTGTTTTGTTATTATTATTATTCCTATATAATATTTCAATTTTCTAATAATAGATGCTTGGAGTTTTTTTGACTGATCTGTTTGGTTTTAGCTATTGTGAAAAAAAACTACAAAGAACATTCCTATGTCTTCTAGGAGATATCCATTGATTTTTTTTTTTAGGGTATGTGTTCAGGAGTGAGATTTTTAACTTGAATATATATTGCCACTGTTTTCCAAAGTGGTTGTATACCCACCCTCCTAGCCATAGATAAGTCATCTGTCTCAAAAAATTTTAGCCTTTCTGATGGGTATGTAGGCATATTTACCTGTAGTGGCTTTGAGGATATTTTGTAGGGTGAGGGCGGTACTGGGGATTGAACTTATAGGTTCTCTACCACTGAGCTATATCCCCAATGCTCTCTAAGCTGTGGAGGCTGCCTAGAACTTGTGATCCTCTTGCCTTAGCCTCCTGAATAGCTGGCGTGTTTTGCTATTCCTGGCCTAAGTTGTGTTTATTTATTTATGTAGAATCCTTTGATAACATTTGTGTTCCCACAAATAATTTCCAGGTCTTATAGAAATGTAAAATAAAATAATATGTCAGGTTTTGGTGCTCAGTAAAGTTAAATATAGATGGAATAAATTACTGATAAGCATTAGTAATTTTAAACTTTTATGTTGTTGAATTGTATTTAAAAATGTGCAGAGTGAAGGGAGGCAGGGAAGAGTTGGGGAGGGTGGATGAATTAGATTCTGTGGTGACTGATAAGTCATTGTATGTTCTTTGGCTTTTATTCTACTTGTTTCATTTGGCCATGAAGATGTTTTGAGCAGAGGATTTCGTTGACTGCTGGTGTTTGAGACAAAAGAAAAGACTATGGGAACAGAGAGATTAGATGGAAGACTGTTACATAGTCTAGGCAAGAGATGGTGGTAGTTTGAATCAGAATGGTAGCAGAAGACATGACAATAAATGGTTTGGATTTGGGATATATTTTCAAGTTAGAGTCAAGTTTAAATATGGGGTAGAGACAAAAGAGATGGGATAAGAATGACGATAAGATAATTTTCACCTTTGTGATTAAATAAAATTTAGATAATATTAAATGTCATTGATTTTTATAATAAAAATTAACAAAGATTTTTAATAAAGATGGTAATCTCATTGTCATAATTCATAACCCAAAGGCCCAATAGTAGGGGAAAATGGAATGTAGTGTAACCATTAATCGTGATTTTGTGAGGCTGGGGCTGTAGCTCAATGGTGGAATGCTTGCCTAGCTTGTGGGAGCCACTGGGTTTGATCCTTAGTACCACATAAAAATAAGTAAATAAGATAATTATTTTTGTTTGTTTGTTTGTTTTTAAGTGATTTTTTTCCCCAGGGGTTCTGGAGGCTGAGGTAGGAGGATCTCAAATTACAGGCATCCTCAGCAACTTGGTTAGGCCCTTAGCAACTCAGCAAGACCCTGTCTCAATATAAAATGAATGAATGAATGAATGAGTGAGTGAGTGAATGAATGAATGAATAAAAAGGGCTGAGGATTGTGGGTAAGTGGTTAAGTGCTCCTGGGATCAATCCCTGGAAGCATAAAAGTAAAATAAATCATAGCTCTCTTTTTTCCTCATTTGTTAAAGTGAATTATTGCCAAACTCAAATGTGGTAAAATGCATCTGACGTTGCTCATCAGTGTAATGAGTTTTCTTTTTATTATTATTGGTTGTTCAAAACATTACAAAGCTCTTGACATATCATATTTCGTACATTTGATTCAAGTGGGTTATGAACTCCCATTTTTACCCTGTATACAGATTGCAGAATCACATTGGTTACACATCCACATTTTTACATATTGCCATACTAGTGACTGTTGTATTCTGCTACCTTTCCTATCCTCTACTATCCCCCCTCCCCTCCCCTCCCATCTTCTCTCTCTACCCCATCTACTGTAATTCATTTCTTGCCCTTGTTTTTTTTTTTCCCTTTCCCCTCACATCCTCTTATATGTAATTTTGTATAACGATGAGGGTCTCCTTCCATTTTTTTTTTTATTTTAGAGAGAGAGAGAATTTTTTTTAATATTTAGTTTTCAGCGGACACAACATCTTTGTTTGTATGTGGTGCTGAGGATTGAACCCGGGCCGCGTGCATGCCAGGCGAGCATGCTACCGCTTGAGCCACATCCCCAGCCCTCTCCTTCCATTTCCATGCAGTTTCCCTTCTCTCTCCCTTTCCCTCCCACTTCTCGTCCCTGTTTAATGTTAATCTTTTTTCATGCTCTTTCTCCCTGCTCTGTTCTTATTTGCTCTCCTTATATCAAAGATGACATTTGGCATTTGTTTTTTTAGGGATTGGTTAGCTTCACTTAGCATAATCTGCTCTAATGCCATCCATTTCCCTGCAAATGCCGTGATTTTTTATATTTTTTAGTGCTGAGTAATACTCCATTGTGTTTATTTTTATTTATTTATTTTTAGAATTTTATTTATTTTTTAGTTTTTTCGGCACACATAACATCTTTGTTTGTATGTGGTGCTGAGGATYGAACCCGGGCCACACGCATGCCAGATGTGCATTACGTTTGTTTGCAAACCTGAGCATCTAACTTCGGGTTTCATGTTTCCTTTATTTATTTTTATTGATGTGAGATTCATGTGACATTGTCACCATTTTAATTATTGTAAGTTATATAATTAAGTTACTTTTAGTGCTTTAGTAATGTGGTAGAACCATCATCACTACCTAATTCCAGAATATTTTCATGGAAAATATTCGTTCAACCATTTTCTCCTCTCCTAGCCACCACTTACCAGTTTTCTGTCTCTCTGCGTTTGTCTATTCTGGACATTTCATATAAATGGAATCATAATATGTGGTCTTTGGTGACTTGCTTCTTTTAGCTAGTGTTTTCAAGGTTCATCCATGTTGAAATATGAATTAATTTTTCATTTATTTTTATTGGTGAATAATGTTCCATTATGTGGATATTTCCACTTTTTTGAGAATATTTTTGTTGTATGAAAATATGAACGTTGTTTGCAACTGTTTGATAAAGGCCTGATATATACCTAGGAGAGGAGTTGCTGGGTCATATGGTAATGCTGTGTTTAACTGTGTGAGGAACTATCAAATATATTAATTACTTTTAGATCTCATCTTCAACCTCTGTGAATATAATTTGCCCATTTAAGAAATGAACRTGTTCTTCAGGCCAGGCACCATGCTGAATACAGAAGATCCTTTCGTGGAACTTATTTTGGGGGTATAAGTAAGCAGGAAGATATCAAGCAAGTGATTATATAGTTAACTGTCTAAAATTACAATGAGTTCTATAAAGGAGAGGTTTTAGATGCCAGGCAAACTAAGAGGGGTTCTACATCTAGACTGGTGTGGTGAATTATCAGGAAAGGCTTCCTTGAGTGAATAATAATATATTTCAACTGATTGAAGTAATATAATAATATAGCAGTTAGTATTTATTTGGTGCTTACTATTTGCCAGGCACTCACAACTTTTCATTTCTGCTGTTTTGCAGATTTAGTAAGCTGAGGAACATAAAGAGTTCAAAGGATTAATCCTCAATTCATAGCTAGGGTGTTATGAAGTCGTTATTTAAACATRGTCTGTCCCACCTCAGAACCCCATCATGGCATTCTCTGCTTTCATTTCCAAGGGAGGCAGTCTTAAGCAATACCTCTGAGGAAGAGTTGTACTTGCTAATTTTCAGGAAATATAAGAATATAGATGACAGGAGTTTTAAAAAAATGGCATAGTACAGGGTACGATCTTATGGAAGGGCAGAGTAAAAAGATATGAAGCTTAAGAATTAGGTGAAACCAGGCTTGTCTTGTTCATTTAAAAAACTTCAGTGGGGTAGACCCCATGCATGTTCAATATAGTTCTTCTTGGCCTCATCAGTAGTTATCTTCCCCATTCCCTTTTCCCATCCCACTTCAACATCATTTTCTTATAACACATTCAGAGGGGTCTTTACCATAAAAGTAAACTAAAGTTTCAGGGTTTCTTACTTTTATGAGCTTCTGTTGTGAGTCATAGAAATTGTTGTGAATTATAAAGTATTCAGGGTGGACAAAGGAAGCCAGTTTGCAGTCAATAAATATTTCCAATAAATGGCAAAGAATTCCCAAATGAAAAAGACCCTAAAAATTATATAAAGTTTAGGTATCACAAAATGCAAATTCATTCCTTAACATTCCTCTCAACATGTGCCTTATTTCACACACCAGTTTGGGTGGGGATCTAAAGGAAAATAAATAAAAGAATTGCTGTGTTAAGGCATGATAATATCAGAGTCAGAAGTCTCTGAAGTGAGCTTAACTTGACAATAGTTGGTAAGTCTTTAGGTTTATAATACACACTTGGTGTAAACAGACACAGAATATTTAGACTATAAGAAACATGAAGAAACTGTCKAAACTGTAGAAAGTTGGAAATTATTTTGATAAGTTACATTTGTTGATAGCGTAAGTGTAGTTCGGTGTCTTTCATGTAGGACAGTTTTGATTACCATAGCATAAACAGTTTTTTAAATTATATGTTATAAATATGGAAAATACTGTTGGCTAAAAACTTCCTAATTGTTTTTATTCTTGRTTTCAGGCGCCTGATAACAGATTCAAAAGTTAAATTAAAGTATCAGCATTTAATAACAAATAGCTTTGTAGAGGTAAGTGAAATCAGAATTCTGTTTATTAAAATAGATATTACTTTTATAAACTTACAATGTGGGGATGTAGCTCAGAGTATATACCTCTCATTGGTGAGGTGCTTGGTTTGATCCACAGCACCCAAGAAAACAAGCAAACATACAACCTGTGAAAATAAGAAGCACTTATACCATATTTACAAACTACAGCCAAGCATCTTTATTCTCAAAGGGTATGGCAATCCAATAAGTAGATCTCTCTTCATAGATCTTGAGCTTTGATATTAAAATTTTTACAATATTATTCTTTATCCCTTATAGAGAATTGCAGTAGATGATGAATTACGTCATGTTTAATCTTCCTTGGGATTTTAACACTATTTCTTTGTTTGTTTTAGGTCCCATTAACTAAATTTAATAATAATGAACACTATTTTCTTTTGTTATATTTATTTCTTAGAGCAGAGGTTGGTGAATTATGGCCTGCCTGTGTTTGTAAATAAAGATTTATTAGTACAAGTCTATAGCCATTTGTTTTATGACTGCTTTTCTGCTACCATTGCAGGATTGAATATTTGCTACAGAAAGCATTAATGGACTTCTAGAAAATAGTTATTATTTCTGTTAGGGGGCAAATTGGAAAATGGCACCTTTCAGAAATAGCATATTTCTTGAAATGTTCAGTTTTTTGGTTTTATTGATAGGATAAGAAATTGAACCTAATGACCTACTGCCACTGAGCTACACCCTCAGAACTTTTCCCAAGACTATCTTCGAATTTGTAATTCTTCTGTCTGAAGTCTCCCGAGTAGCTAGAATTACAGGCATATGCCCCACCTTGCCCAGCTTCAGTGTAGTTTGGAATCGAGTGCATAATATTGCTTTGAGCCATGTTTTTTTTTCCCTAACAAAAATACTTTTAATGTTATATTTCCAGGCTGAGGTATGGCTTAGTGGCAGAACACTTCTCTAGACTGTGAGGCACTGGGTTTGATCCCCAGCACTACCAAATAAATAAATAAAAGAAGAAGGTATATTTCCTTTTGAAGTACCAAAATGCGGATTGCCCTGTTGTTTAGTAACTAACTTTAGGAGGAATCACATATATATGCATTTACTTATCTTCAACTTTATTGTAGCCTCTAAACACCTTCCCCAAGTAGAAACACATATAGTTTTCTTGTATTTCATGAAAATTTCCCTGAAGGACAATCATAAGTAAACTATTTTTTATAATCACATAATGAATACTTTAAAAATTCTCAGTGGGATTTTGCTAATAAAATAAGAAGGTAGTTTGTGTATTTCATAAAACTAGGTCTTTAAGGGATTAATAATCTTGAGCAAACAGTGTATCTGTAAGATTGCCATGGAAGACCATAGCAGGCTTTTGTATGCTTCTATCATCATCTGTCCTTTACTCCTCGCACTAAATGTGTGAGGGGATTTTGCATGATTATTTAATTTACTGTCATTTTAAGTTTTCTTACTTGCGTTTTAGTGCAATCGACTGTTAAAGTGGTGTCCTGCCCCAGATTGCCACCATGTTGTTAAAGTTCAATATCCTGATGCTAAACCTGTTCGCTGCAAATGTGGGCGTCAATTTTGGTAAGCAAATGATTTTCTAAATGGAAGGTAGTGCATGTAACTTTTTTTTTTTAATTCTTGGTTATAAAAAAGTAGGAAAAAATTTACTATAGTCAGGGAAATGAGTGATGTTGGTTAAAAATAGCGTGTGTGTGTGTGTGTGTATGTATGTATGTATGCATTTATTTATTTATAAGTAAGAATTACATGGAGGGTTATAGTTGTGGCTCAGTGGTAGAGTGCTTGCCTAACATGTGAGGCACTGGATTCCATTGTCAACACAACATAAAAATAAATGAATAAAATAAAGGTATAGTGTCCATCTAAATCTAAATCTCTCTCTCTCTCTCTCTCTCTATGTATATATATATATATATATATATATAATTAAATGGAAAACTCACATCTTGAATAATGTTTTCTCTGTCTTTGATGTTGTAACCCTGTGACTGTTTTTCATGGGATAAAAATGCAGTTATACTCTCATTTTCCTTTATGCCTCATTGTAATTTATATGGGAGCAAACTTAGAGATCTGAACAAGGAACTTTAGTTCTTTTCATTTTGGGTTTTTTGGTTTTTTTTTTTTAATCAGGTTGAGTTCTGTAAGGCTCTTACTATACTTTCAGAGATTATCCCAGTTTAGCAAACACATTACACAAGTCTTTTTAAACTTTTTCTTCACCCAGACAAGTATTAATATTATTCATATAATGAAAAATTTCAGGTGAATTTGGTGGTTTTAACTGCTAAGAGTTTTCCAATGCCCAGCTTTATTGATAACCAGAGCCTTTGGAGTTCTGTAGCATATGTTTCAGCCTCTGGATTGTAGAGGAATCCCATGTATATGCATTACCTTATCTTAAACTTTATTGTAGCATCTAAACACCTTTCCCAAGTAGAAACACATATGGTTTTCTTGCATTTCATGAAAATTGCCCACTTAACCAGAAATTTCTGACACCCATATTAAAAGAGTGTTTTAGTATCTTTTGTTTTAGTATCTTTTGGGATTCCTTAACAGGCTTATCTATATTGCTTTATAGCAAGGATGGCCTTGCCTCTAGTTCGCAACAGGATGTTTCTCATTTTCTTCTGAGACCGCATCAAAATGGTCTTTATTGGCCGTATTTCAGACAACATTCTATTCACTGCCACTTAGGTGTTTCTGAGATGGGTGAAGCTTTTTTTATACTTCTTTCTGAGCCCCCACCAAAATCACCCGTAATAATGTTTTTCTTTCTAGCATGTACCTCCAAACACTACCCCTTACCCACTTCCAAATAAGCTTCAACATTTAGGGTTTTGATAAAACGGCAACCCCACTTCACAGTACTAATTTTATGTCTTAATCTGTTCAGGCTGCTGTGACAAAATGCCATAAACTGGGTGAGCTTATAAACAACAGAAATTTAGTTCTCATAGTTATGCAGGCTGGGAAATCCCAGATCAAGATGCCAGCAGATTTGTTGTGCAGTGAGGGCCCACTGTCTGTTCATAGATGGTACCTTTCTTGATGTGTCCTTGTATCTCTTTGAGACCTTTTATAAGGGCACCAGATGTGTTCATAACAGCAGCCCTCATGACGTAGTCAGCAGAACATTTGAACCATAGCAAGAAAGAAGGCTAGATGATCTTCCATTCCTATGAAGCTCTTTAGTAGGAGTGAAAAGGCAATCAAACCAAGAGCCTCTGGAGTTGGGAAATAGGCATTTTGTTGGTATTCCTTACCTTTATGTTTTTTCCTCAATACAGATATAGAATTAGATTTATGCATTAATGATAAATATTCTCAAAACTGCCAATATACCCAACATAGGTAAATTCCTTTGTTTGACAAAAAGAATTTTTGGTATTCCTAAATTATAGGATTAGGTCGTTAATCAACCATATTGTGGTTAGTTTTTCATAAACATTTGTGTTTGTTCTTAATTTATTATAACCTCTCTACCCTTATTTCATAAATGCTGCATGTACCATTAGCCTAGAAAGCAGAAATGAATTATCAGTGAACTTAATAATTACCTGGGGAGGCTGGGGTTGTGGCTCAGCAGTAGAGCGCTTGCCTAGCACATGTGAGGCCCTGAGTTCAATCCTCAGCACCACATAAAAAAATAAATAAAGTTAAGGTATTGTGTCCAACTATAAAATAAATATTAAAAAAAATAATTGCCTTGGCAACTTAGTGAGACCTGTCTCAAAATTTAAAAAAAGAAAAAAGCGGGGTGGGGCGGGGTGGCTGAATGAGGCTCTTGACTTTTTGTTTTGAAGTACATTGCTCATGATTCTAGTTCCAAAATTTAATCTTTTGTGTGTGTGTGTGTGTGTTTACACTTAGAGAATATTTAGACATATTTTATACCTAGGCCAGGTACCATTTCTTTTTCTGTGATATTGATGATATCTAAAGTTACACAAAGATGTGCTTATTTGTTTCCTGAATATAATTGACCTATACAAGTCAGACTCTTCATTTGGGGTGCTAAGAAAAATTGAATGCATTCTGATAAAGCATTAGTTGAAACTTCTCAGTACAGTCTGCAGTACCCTAGCAACAACTGTTAAGAAATTGTCATCAATGCATTGTCTGGTTGTTCTTCATTTCACAAATGTTTGCATAATCACTACAGGATAGTCCTGATACATACTGAATTCCCAAGTAATTTGCTATAAAATCATGGTCCCTGCCCTTTTGTTTGTCAGTGACTAGAAATTGAAACTAAAAAGCATCAGATGGGTGGGTGGTTTGTAAGGGTAAGGGCTAGTAGGAATTCATTCTTTTAATTCTTTGTGTCACCTAACAGCTTTAACTGTGGAGAAAATTGGCATGATCCTGTTAAATGTAAGGTGAGTTAGACATTTTCATTTTTAAATCATGGGATGATGTGTTTTTAAGCCTTGATGGAAATAAAAGCCAGTGACTTTGTTATCTGTTGATAAATAGAAAAATTTTTTGTGAACTTTTTATTTCAGGTGATTATTGCAAGTATTCAGGGAATATTCCTTGGGGAAAAATCTAGGTAGTTCATTATTATTACCATAGTCGTGGTTAAGGCACCTTTCAGTAGGATTTGTTATTAGGGGAATAGCACTCCTTGTAGCTCAACTTTTCTTTTAAGCTCTATACTTCCCACTCAGTTGGTGCTAGAGAAAAATCCTCCTTTGGTTGATTTTTTATGTACAGTAGATATTACAGTTATAAGATTTCCCTGGTTCAGGARAAAGTACGTCTAGTAATAATCTTGTTCTTTGACTTTTACATTTAAGCTTGGCTTTAATTAAGTGCGGAAGGAATTTTCTCTGCTTTTYTTAAACCTTTTTAAAAACTCTAACAGTTATTGTTTTCAAACAGTGGTTAAAGAAGTGGATTAAAAAGTGTGATGATGACAGTGAAACCTCCAATTGGATTGCAGCCAACACAAAGGTTGGTGCTTTTTCTTCAGTTACTGTTCGTAATGAAAGTGATAAGGATACGTGCATCAGCATTGGCAAAAGCTATAAATTTACCTAGTTAACAGCCTTGTGACACTTTTTCATCTCCATCAAGCACCGCCCCCTGAAAGAATTATTATCTATTAATAATTTCCCTTTATTTTAAAGTATTGAGTATTATACTGAGTGTGCAGAGTTACTCAGCTTTAGTTTTCTTTTATTGTAAAAGCATTTGTTTCCTTTGAAGAAAAAGCTGAATTTTTCTTGTCTGGAATTTATTCTTGACTGGCCTTTAATATATAGGTGTATTGTAGAAGTGCACTCTACCTAGCTTGAGTCTTATTAGACTAATTTACATTTCTTCCTTAAATCTTCAGTTTTACTTTTTAGAACTTATTAATTAGGGGCAGGATTTGAGCACAGTAATTGAGGAACCATTAAGTTTTTATTATATAATTGAACTAGGTTAATAAAACTGTCTCTCCAAGTCTACTTCATGTTAAATTTATGAATTATGACTTAGCAAAAGATTTGCCTCTGAATAGCCAGGTGTACACCTGTAATCTTAGCTACTTGGGAGGATCGAGACAAGAGGATCACCAAGTTTGAGGTTAGCCTGGGTAACATAGCAAAACCCTGTATCAATTRAAAACAAAACAAAACAAAACAAAAACAGTGGGGGGAAAGGGGATATATAGTTCAGCCTATCCTTTTTTTTTTTTTTTTAAGTACATTGCTCATGATTCTAGTTTCAAAATTCATCTCTTTATTACCCTAAACYACTTTCTTAACACCAGACCCAATATCTTAAAAATGAAACTAATTTTTAGCATTTCTCTTTTAAATAATAAATTCACATTTGTATCCAAACTGTGTACACAGCGAGTTTCTTTCTTTTTTCTTTTTTTTTAATTGTAGATGGACAGATATCTTTATTTATTTTCATGTGGTGCTGAGGATCGAACCCAGTGCCTCACACGTGCAAGGCAGGCGCTCTACCATTGAGCTACAGTCCCAGTCTCCAGCTAGTTTCTTAATAGAAAAATTGTACCAAGATTCATTGTTGGGCTGGGGTTGTGGCTTAGTGGTAGARTGCTTGCTTGCCTGCCTAGCATATGTGAGGCACTGAGTTAGATTCTCAGCACCACATATAAATAAATGAATAAAATAAAGGTCCATCAACAACTAAAAATATTTGTAAATTTTAAAAAAAAAATTCTATATCCTATTTAAATCAGTCTTTTCTGTATAGTAAACGACTTGGGTAATGAATGATAGGTGATTGATTCATTGTCTGTTTCACATATAAAGATGGTGCTTTAAAGAACCTGAGTTATTTGGGATGTGACTGTGGCTCAGTGGTAGCACACTTGTCTGGCTTGTGTGAGGCACTGGGTTCAGTTCTTGGCACYGCATATAAATAAAAATAAAATTTTCCACTTAAAAAATAAAAACTTGAGTTATTTGACCAGTACTAGTTATAGCTTTGTACTGTGCTTAATCTGCGGTCAACACATACTTTTAAGGATATACCTTGCTTATACTTATATGTATGGTGCAAGTATATGTTTCTCTTTCCTAGAAAGCGTTAGCAGTTAAAACAGTGAGATTTGTCACACAAAACAGTTTCCTGAATCTTTACGATATATATGGCAGCAAACAATATTTTTATGTTCTTTCCAACCATCATGGTAAGCATACTACACATCATTGAAGGAAATCTTGTTAAATGTACTGTGATGTCATGAAGGTGGTAACTTCTATTGCTATTTTAAAAGAATTTCCTAGTTAAGCATTTCTTTTTGAAAATTGAAGSGTTACCCATCAGAAATGTTCGTTAATGTTCCAGATTCTTTAATGTGTCCTATGTTAATGTTTAGAAGAAGAGGGCAGCTATATTTTCACTAAGTTGTTTGTTTAAATAATATTCATCTTCTTTCTATGTTTAGAAAGATACTGTTGGCCTCCAAGATCTTTAAAATAGGTAGTATAGGCTTGGATATGTTTGGTTTGGCTGTAAGGCAGATTACCAAAGAAGAATGTCAGTTTGTGATAAATAACAAATTTAATCAGTCCGTAGTTCTGCAGTAAAACTGAAAATTTTTTTTCTCTCAAGAGGTTTAAGAAATTTTAAGGTTTAAGTATTGTTATTAGCTTCTTGGGTATACTTGTAGACTTTCTTGGTATCTTTAATATTTTGAAGGCTTAATACTCTTTGTTTTAAAAATGTAGAATGAAACCTATTTTATGCCTAAAATTTGCTTCTTTGGCAATATGTAAAATTTCTTAAGTGAATGATTTAAAAATTTTGATCTAAATATATATAATAAAAAATTGCCATATTGGCCTGCTTAAAATTAGTATAGTTTGTCAGCAGTGTGCAGTCTGTTTGAAAAAGGTCAAATTGTACAAATAGATTAGCCCTCCCTTATGGGGGCTAAAGTCACCAGACATAAATATGCAAATACAACAACTAAAAAATACAAATTTTCCACCTTCTTGGTTTAATATAATGTAAGATCGATTTTCCCCCCCAAGATTTTTCAGAAACAAAAAAGGCCTCATAGATCTGAAACTTCAGTTTACCAGAGACTAAGAAAATGAAACAAACTTGGAGAAAACAATCTCATATTTTTCTCTGTAGCATAGTTAATGGGTCACACTGTAAAGAATTTAAAATATAGGTATTTGGCCAAAGAAAGTTGGGAAATATATTATGACTTTATCTTAATAATCATGTCCTAATTTCCTGCTTGCCTGTCAGGCAAGGACAGATTACTTGGGTATGGATCCTGACTTTATCATTTCCTACCTTTGTGACCAAGAACTAGGTTCTTTATTGTTTTTTTCTTCCATAGTTTATTCATCTCACAAATGAAAATAAAAATAATACTACCATAAGGATTATGAGTTGATGCATACAAAGCACTGAGAACAGTGCATGGGATATAGGATAAAGGAAGAAAATACTCTATAATTATTTCTAGATGATAGTAGAGAATGTATTTACAGGAAAAAATATTTTACTTTTTATAAAACGGTTACTATGTATCTGATTGAAAGTACTTAAAGTGTTTTTGTTGTTCAACCCCCCCTTAAAAAATTTGTAGATTGGGTGTGATGGCACATGCCTATAAATCACAGCAACTTAGGAGGTTGAGGAAGGATCACAAGTTTGAGGCTAGCGTGGGCAACTTAGTGAGACCCTGTCTCAAAATGAAAAGGGCTGGAGGTGTAACTTAACCCCTGGTTCAGTCGATAGCACTTGGTTTGTGTGTAGGCGGTGTCCATAAATTATTGTGTATTTTAAAACTCTGTAGTATTGATTGATTCAACTCATTTTTAATAGTACTTATTAAATGTTTGACACTGTTCTAAGTGCTTTACATGTATTAACTACAATAAGTAAACCAAGGCTTCTCCTCAGTGTTAGTAATACAATCTAGTGTAGCATTGACACCAACTTTATAGTTTCTCTTCATAGGAATGTCCCAAATGCCATGTCACAATTGAGAAGGATGGCGGTTGTAATCACATGGTCTGTCGTAACCAGAACTGTAAAGCAGAGTTTTGCTGGGTGTGTCTTGGCCCTTGGGAACCACATGGATCTGCCTGGTAGGTTGGGGGAAATGGAAGAATATATTCACATAAGTATGTGATATGTKCCACGGATTTTGAGTAATATTTCTATCTCAACAAGTTTACTGTCCTGGGAACTAAATAAACAAAAGTTGATATGTGAGCTGTTTCACAAGAGAAGGATATACAAAATATCCACAGAGCATGTTTCACAGAGGTGGTAACAACTGAGATGAACTTTTTAAAAGAGCTGAGAGCTCATTAATTGAAAAAGTAGTAGGAAATACATTTAGGGCAAAAGGAGCAGCATGAACAAGGGAGAATGATGTGAAAAGGATGTGACTTTTTCATCACCTCAAATGTCTCTCTAGGCAATAATTGTAAGTAAGAGCTTTTGAGAAAACCCAACCCAGACATCATTAGACCAATATTTTATATAAAACTTTTAAAAATTGTAGCATTGCCCAGCAAAAGTCCATGTTTTTATTTTCTTAGGACCTATGTTTCTCTTTGGTAACAAGCACCTAAGACTGGGAAGCAGTCTTTTTAAGTGTCTTTGCCTTTCAGTTTGATGTGTTCCCCCCCGCCAAGACTGAAGGATAATAACCCTAGTTACATATATAACTGTTCCTTGGCATCCTGGAAATTGGGTTCCAGGACCCCTTGTGTGGATATCCATATTTGGGGATGCTCATGTACTTTATAAAAAATATTACAGTATTTGTGTAAACCTGCACACGTCATCCTATATATTTTAAATCATCTGTAGATGATAATATAGTGCCTAATGCAATGAAAATGCTACAAATAGTTGTTTTATTGTTTAGGGAACAATGACAAGTAAAAAAAAATGTACATATTTAGTAAAGACGCATTTTTCCCAAAAATATATATATTTTTAATCTACAATTGGCCGAATCCACAAATGCATAATTCTTTTATGTAGTGTGCTAACTTTGTGACATGGCACCATTGTTCTTCATTTAGTAAGTGAAACATACTTTTACTCAATTCATAGTTTTTATTTGGAAATGTCAAAGTTAGACTGTGGATGCCTTGAGTTTTGAGAAAAATGGGAGCTAGCACTAAGAGCTTTACAAAGGCTGGGGATATAGCTCAATTGGTAAAGTGCCTGCCTTGCATGCACAAGGCCCTGGGTTCAATTGCTAGCAACACACACACACAAAACAAAAACAAAAACAAAAAAAAACCACTTTACATACATTATCTCATAATTCTTGCACTTTGTAGAGAGTACATAGGAGGAAAGTGGATGCAGGTTCAAAAAAAAGTAAAGAAGATGTGAACGTAAGACAATGACATTTGTCATTAAGACAACTTCTGCCAGTTTTTCTGACTGATTAAGTTCCAGTAAAGAAATTTTGTCATTGTAATATAAGTCAACAATATACTATGTGAAAAGTGTATGATTAGAGATGAAGTATTCTGGGGCTGGGGTTGTGACTGAGTGGTAGAGTACTCAACCTTGAGTGAATAAGGCACTGGGCTTGATCCTCAGCACCACATAAAAATAAATAAAATTTAACAAAAGAAATTGGATTGTTTAAAAGAACGAGCGAGCGAGCTGCAGTATTCTAAAGACTTTGTATCATTTGGGGAGGGTAAAGAAATTGTGCATTTGCTAGAGCCAAGAAAGGGTATTCCAGGTATAGCCAATCAGGTTATCTAAATTTTGAGAAGGCATATTGGAGGATTAGATTGTTCTTAGAAAGTAAATTTATCTTGTACTCTTGTAAAACAAACAAACAAACAAACAAACAAAAAAGCCTCTTGATTAGGGGAGAGGGTAAAGAAGAAGAGTTATTAAAGATATATATGTTTGTGTAATATCATCTCTAATCACACTCAGATTTAAAATATGTTGTACTGAAACCTGAAAAGGGTATAAAACAAATGTTAGATATAGAAAAATGAATAATGACCTTGACAGGTGTCAGAAAATGCTGCTGTGCCTTACCTTTATGCATGCTGACATTGCAAATGAATCATGATATTTTATTTCCTATTTACATCTTTAAGTGCCTCAGAATTGTCAATATATCATTCCAAAGTTATTTGAGTTAGAAATATAGATGAATGCTAATTATTTGTTTTCTTAGCCTTAAAATCTATACCATGGTGGCAGGGTGAAGCCCAGAATGGGATGAGGCTAATAAATATAATAAATAAGTTACTTTTTAAAATATACAGTATATAGACGAGATATTAATAGATGACCAGTATAGGTAAGGGAAGTTATCTTTAGGTTAGGTTGAATAGAGTGTTCATTCTCTGGCAAGGATTATGATCAAGATGGGAAAATCAATATTAAATCTCCTGACTTCAGTGAATTGTTGTCTGGGTTACTTCAGAAACTTGAAGATGAGCTCAGTTGATTATTTCTGAGTAATTGTGGAAAATACAGATATATCAAAGACTGGGAGCAGATAAAATGTTATTCCAGGTTTCTAATATTTATGATTTGATTCCAAAAACTACACCTGAACTACATAACTTATTTTTTGTCTCATGTTAAATTCCAGTATAAAATGATTTAAATAGGAGGATAGAGTATATAGGATGTTTTCTAGGTTTCAGCAAGGTATTTAATTGTGGATTGAGAAGTTTTTGACCAAATCAGTGAATATAGGCAGGAATATTTGAGATTTTCTTGTCTCCCCCCCCCCTCCCAAATATATTAAGTGCATACTCCTTTTCTGGTCAGTTTTATTGGTAATTTTCTTGAATAGATGAATCATATACATTTTGGACTAACTTGAGAGAGAGATTGAAAATACATTGAATGTTATTTCCTTAAGGAACTGGGAGCATAACTCAGTGGTTGTAGCATATACAAGGCCCTGGGTTCAGTCCCATGCACATCCCTCTCCACACCTCCCCTGCAAATCTAGATAAGCTGGAACAATTTCACATGATTTAAATTCAAAACTCTTCCTTTAGGAGGGAGGGTTGGGTTGTTTTTTTTTGTTTTGTTTTGTTTTTTAACAAACAAACAAACAAAAAACTCCCTTTGGAGTAAAAAAGATTCTAAAGACAGGACATTAGCTTGTGGGTAATATACTCATTGGATAAGACCATGAGTATTCATTGACAGGCAAGTGTAAGTTTTAATTACCAGCTCTGAAATTCCTCTTTGTGTGTATTGCTTATTCTCTAAATGTAATTCTTAAGCCAGATATGATGACACAGACCTGTGATCCCATTAACTTGGGAGGCTGAGGCAGGAAGATCACAAGTTTGAGGCCAGTCTCAGTAATTAAGGGAGTCTCCAAGCAACTTAGTGTGAAACGTTGTCTCAAAGTGAAAAATAAAAAGGGCTGGGGATGTAGCTCAGTGGTAAAGTGCCTATGGATTCAATCCCCAGTATTCCCTCCCCACCCGCACCCAATACAATCCTTTATCTGTTCAATAAAGACAGAAATACATATTTTATAAGGTGTTTTGAGGGGATTAAATGTGAAAGTACATTTACACTCCTTAGCCAAATGCATGATATTTAGTAAGTACTCATAAATAACTGCCGCTCCCTGAATGTAGGGTCCCCAATAAGAGATGTAGTAACCAGGACAAAGGGCGTGCCACTCTTTCTTATCTCCACTCTGAGCTGACTTCTATGGGAATGCTCCCTTCTTTCTTACACTTAATGTATCTTTTAGTTTTAAGTGGCACTTAATTAACTATATAATAGCATGTAAAGCACATAGCACAGCGTCTGTTACAGAGCAGGGTGCCAAGTATTGGCAAATAAGGTGAATAACCTTAGAAAATCAGAAGTATTAGGCCTGAATAACAGGTGGCCTGGGATATAAGAATGGAGTTAGAAACTACTTATAGTAAATGGAACTTCTAGATAACAGTGTTTTCTAATAATTATAAATAAGCTGAGGGGCTGGGATTGTGGCTCAGCAGTAGAGCGCTAGCCTAGCATGTGGGAGGCACTGGGTTCAATCCTCAGCACCACATAAAAATAAATCAATTAATAAAATAAAGATATTGTGTCCAATTACAACCAAAAAGTAAATAAAATAAATGAATGAATAAGCTGATTTGGAACGCACTGCCTCAGAAGATGAAGAGGGTTCCCTATTACTGATTAGAGAATGGATTGAATATTATAGAGAGAATTCAAGCAGTAGGAGTGTATGACATTAAACAACCCTTCCAGTACCTTGGAGTAGCCCAATAATTTTATTATAATAATATAGAACCCTATAATAACTTCTTAGTTCATCCGTTGTGAGAATGTTGATTCTAGATACTCTCTAAATCTGGGTTAAAATTCTGTGGTTCAGGGCTGAGATTGTAGCTTAGTGGTAGAGCCCTTGCCTAGCATGGGTTTGATCCTCAGCACCACACAAAAACAAATAAATAAAGGTTAAATTCTGTAAAAAAGAAGTAAAGAAAATTCTATGATTGATTTCCTTTTCATTGACTTATGGCTTTATAGAATCCTCTTACTTTACTTTAAGGTACAACTGTAACCGCTATAATGAGGATGATGCAAAGGCAGCAAGAGATGCACAGGAGGTAAGTACATTTATAATAGGATAATATTTGAATAGGAATGCACATTGTATATTCATTGGGGAATAATGCAGCAGAAGTTTTCAATAATGAGGGATTTGTGGAAACCAGTTGTGGTGGTGTGTGCCTTTAATTCCAGCAACGTAGTGAGGCTCTAAGTAACTTAGCAAGACTCTATCTCAAAATTTTAAAAAAATTAAAAGGGTTGGGGATGTAGCTTAGTGAAAAGGGAACCCCTGGGTTCAAGTCCTAATCTCCCTCCGCCAAATTGTGGATACACACTCCAATAAATATAGGGTATCTGTTTATATTTAGAAAGGGAATCCTGTCCAAAAATTCTATCAAGGACATTATTTTTTGGCTTTCTTTTAATTAGTCAAGTTGCATAATTTCAGGTATTACTAGTGTCAAACAGAACGGAGAGTAGAGAACAATTGTTAAATGTCCCTTCTGCTATTTGTAGGCAATTATGTCACTTATTTTTTTGTTTTTATTATCTTGTTGTTCTTAGAGTGTCACAATATTTAGGTCCTTTAAAGGGCAAGAATATTTTAAAATTTCAATATTGATTTAAATATATTCAGTAGGATTTTGTTTAAATATTACCTTAAATATATTCAGTAGAAAATTACTTAAAAAGCATTATCCCAATTGTAAACTCATATGCTGTTAGCAGCTATGCAAACTAAACGAACTAAGAAAACTACAAAATCAGTGAGACTCAAGATTTATTTGGCAAATATGTTGTTTGCTGAAATGACTGTTGATGGGCTGCTACATGGCAGTGTTTTTAAAATTTAATGTTACTGTATTACTACCCCTGCCCAACCCCCGTACTGGGAATCAAACCCATATCCTTGGTTTTCATCCCCAGCACTGCAAAGAAAAAAGAAATCTGCTTCTTGATAGTTTTACATCTTATTTCATGCTATAGAACAGTACCATCCAATAGAACTTTTTTTGTAATAATGAAAATGTTCTTTATTACTACTGTCCCAATTTGGCAGCTAYTGACCACAGATGTGACTTCTGAGTGCTGAGAGACTAATTATTTTATTTTAAACATTCATTGCATACTAAATAGCAGAGAGACTATAGTCTTTCTTCCTGTGCAATAGATATCAAAACTTAGTCCTCCTGTCTGAAATTGTACCCATTGATCAATAATTCCCCTTTCCTCCCCTGCTCAGCTAACCATTTATCATTTATCTTTATGCTCTCTGTGAGTTAAACTAAGTAAGATCATACAGCATTGTCTTTCTGTGCCAAGCTTTAGCATAATGTTCTCCAAGTTGATCCTCTTTGTCACCAAAAAAAAAAAAACTGGATTTCTTTTTTCTTTTTAAGATTCAGTAATATTCCATTGTATATGTGTATACCAYGTATTCTCTGTCCATTCATTCATTAATAGACACTTTAATTGGTTCCATATCTTGGCTCTTTAGAACAATGCTAAAAAATCATGGAAGTATAAATATCCCTTCAACATGATTTTAGTTCTTTTGGCTATATACCCATTATGTGGGAGTACTAGATTGTTTGATACCAACTTTTGTGCATAGTAATTATGTAACCTTTATTTTTCTTAATGGGTCAGCGATCTAGAGCAGCTCTTCAGAGGTACCTGTTCTACTGTAATCGCTATATGAACCACATGCAGAGTCTACGCTTTGAGCACAAACTATATGCTCAAGTGAAGCAGAAAATGGAGGAGATGCAACAGCACAACATGTCCTGGATTGAGGTGCAGTTCCTGAAGAAAGCAGTTGATGTCCTCTGCCAGTGTCGTGCCACACTCATGTACACTTATGTCTTCGCTTTCTACCTCAAAAAGAATAACCAGTCCATTATCTTTGAGGTAGGGATGGCTCCTGGATGTGGAAAAAGACCACCTTGTGTTGTAGGACTGATTCCTTGTTTTTTGTTGTTGTTTTTTTTTTTTTTTTTTTTTTTTTTTTTGTGTGTGTGTGTGTGTGTGCTGGGGATTGAACCCAGGGCCTTGTACATGTGAGGCAAGCACTCTACCAACTGAGCTATATTTCCAGCCCATACTTGGTCTCTTTCATATATAAAATGTATAGAGTTTGGGGCTGGAGTTGTATCTCAGTGGTAGAGTTTTTCCCTTGCACATGTGAGGCACTGGGTTTGAGCACCAGCACCACATAAAAATAAATACATTTATTTATTTATCTACGACGAAATATATATATATCGAGAGAGACAGTGTATTTAAAACTGATGTTTGAGGGGCTGGAGTTGTGGCTCAGCGGTAGAGCACTCGCCCCTTACGTGCAAGACCCTGGGTTTGATCCTCAGTACCACATAAAAATAAATAAGTGAAATAAAGGTATTATGTCCAACTACAACTAAAAAATATTTTTTAAAAATTAAATTGATGCATGAAACATTGATGCCCATAAATGTATAGACAATAATACTGACTAGCAGATGGGAATTTAGATGAGAAACATGTATTGAACTGGCTATAGTTCTAAAGGATAATAAAATTTTAATTTTCCATACATTGTTTTTTGAAATAGGTATATCAGCTATATCTGATAAGGTATTGCTRCAGCAAAATGTGAGCAAAAATGGGTTTCTGTTTTTTTATTCAAGTTTCCTTTTTGAGTTTTTAATAAAGAACAGCTCTCAGATTTAGAGGATTCCAGAAGACTTTCAGTTCTTTCAAATTGTTATCAATATTCTTGAAGAGGCACTAGGATAAATCTTTAGCTTTTTTTTTTTAACATTTTAATAATTGTTCTGGAAAAGAGAGAATACATTATTATAGGTGAAAGTATCAGTGTTGAGAGTGATCTATAGTCAGCAAAGCAGCCAATATGGTTTATCTTTTTGCTTTAATTTGAAACCAACATTTATTGTGTATTATTTTTCTTGCAGAATAACCAAGCAGATCTAGAGAATGCCACAGAGGTGCTTTCGGGCTACCTCGAACGAGATATTTCCCAAGATTCTCTGCAGGATATAAAGCAAAAAGTACAAGATAAGTACAGGTAAGATTTTTAATAGCTGTTGTGCAAAAGTTTCTGGTAGTGTTGGTCTAGAGTACTTAATGGTGACATTTGACATGGTGAAATTGTGTTTAATATAACCAGTACCAACCTGCTGTCATATTTCCCACAGATTTCTTGTGTCTGTTGGGCAACAAGTTACATATAGTAATATTGGTGAAGCATAGAGGAGAAATTCAACCATTTATCATATGGCTGATAAATAAAAGTTCAGCTTTTAACTATTCAGTTTCTACCCCATAAGGAAAAAAGAGCTTAAAAAGGAAAAGTGTTCATTATGATGAAAGGGTGAGAATAGAATGGTGTTATCCTGGGAATCCTGGATCATGGCTCTTGACAAGTGAGCTATATAAACTTCCTTTTTAGAATTTTTAGATTTTTTTCTTTCTCTCTTAAGGAGAGATATACTCTGTCATGGGAATAGAAAATACTTCAAAGATATGCCATCTCTTAAGCTACAGATGTAAAATTTTTGACTTCTCAACACAAAGCTCTTTCCCCCCAATAGTTTTTTGTTAATGACAATATCTTTTTTTTAACAGTAATAGGAAACTGAGAGTTTGGAATATAATACAATTTAATCCTTACTAACAGTAGTTACCTCAACGTATTTAGAACTTTCATAATTAATAGATTTTATTGTTGTGAATAAATAACTCATGAAATTACTCCTTTCTGAAACAGTTACTTAACTGCAGGACTGTAGGATTAAGTTCATCAGAACTTGAAACACTTTATGACTGTAAAATTAGAGTCTGGAAATGGAACTTTAAAAAAAAATACTCAATAGCATTAAAAGCTGTTTGATGTGTTTATACATCTAGACCTTGAAAATATGCCACGTGATTGGTTAAACTGTAGGGGTGCTTAAAAATAAGTATATGCCTCTTTTTTATTATTGGAGGCTGACGACAAGTTTTTTTGTTTTTGTTTTTGTTTTCTCTTTGACTACAGATACTGTGAGAGTCGACGAAGGGTTTTGTTACAGCATGTGCATGAAGGCTATGAAAAAGATCTGTGGGAGTACATTGAGGACTGAGAATGGCCCTGCATAAAATGAACTCTGAAAACTTTACCATCTAGAGTGCTCATGCAATTAAAACAAAACAAAAACACAAACACAAACAAGGAGGCACTAAGCCTATTCTGACACCGCTGGTCTGTAGTACCAGAATTCTGTTTTGTTAACGGAAAGTTTAAGTAAATTATATTGTAATAAAAAAGGTAGATAAACCATTGTACAACAGTATTCTAGGCCGCCAACAAAAGTGTGACAGACACACTAAAAGCCCTCCAACTTTAACTTGTAACGTAGCTTCATTCTCAAAGCTGACTCCTTTTTTCTTTTTCTTTTTCCTAAGTGTAGTACAGTTAAAATTTCAAATAGCTCCTTGACACTGCTTTTCATGTCCAAACCAGCCATTTTGTTGTACTTTGGTAAAGTACCTCTTCCCCTTCCTCCCCTACACATACAAATATACCCACACACACAGACTGATTCTCTTTCTCTCATACCCCAAGGTCATGAGTGAATGATGATTAGCTCCTTGTAAAGAAAATTCTTGGGATGGGGAAGGGGGTAGGCAGCAAGAGGATTAAACAAACAAAAAACAACAACAACAAAAAAACTTTGTATATGACTTTTGAAACAAGAGGACAACACAGTATTTTTCAAAATTGTATATAGCGCATATGCATGGATAAAGCAAGCGTGGCACGTGTTTGCATAATGTTTAATTACAAAAAAATATTTATTCTTTAAAAATCTTCAAGATTATGTCTATTTGCTGTGCATTTTCTTTTAGTTTGCTTTATCTTTCCAGGGTTGGGGTTGGGATAAAAGGTGTGTTTGTTTAGCACCTCTGGAAGACCTRACTAGAGCTCTTCAGTTTCCCTTTCTTGAGGTTACTTTGCCCTTTCTGGTTTTGTTATGTCTTTTGCTGGCCATAGGCCTCAGAATTCCCAGCTCTTGATCAGGAACAAGGCAGTTAAGTTCTGAGTAAGTTCTCTATGGCCTGTTAAAGACTGCAACAGGAAGTTTTATTGCCTCAGTTCATGAATGATCCTGTTCCCAACTTATTCCCCCTCCATGGCTTTATGCCTCTCCCCAGGCCTTCCTTGTGTGCCCCATGTCATGCACACAGCTATAGGCTTCTTAGGCTCCCCCTCACATCAAGAGGAAGCATTTCACAATTTTTTTTTCCTGTTTTTGTTTTCCTTTAATTGCTGCTTTGAGCCTTTCAAAATTTTAGTTATGGCTCGTCTTACCCCTTCTCTCCATTAGGGTGTCAAATAGAATGTTTTTGCTTTAAATATAAATAAATAGCCATTCACATAGTCTCAAATTGTGAATTTAAAATGGCGGATATTGAAATTGCTTGTGTGTGTTGCTGTGGGTTCAGTTTGAAGGCAAACACCCCTAGAACATGATATTTCCCATCCAGTGTATTTAACTAGAAATCACTGAGTTTGCTTCTTTTCTATTGTCAGCAGATAAGAGAATTAATAATGCATTTTAGCTGTGATGTCCATTTTTATGAAATTTCTACTAAGAGCTATGTTAAAAGTAAAGGATGGTGGTGGTTTTATTAATTATATACATGTTTAGGCCATTCTGGCTGTGGTATTTTTCAAAAGGTCAGCATCCCTAAATCTGTCAGTTTTATACAAGCGTGCAGAGTGAACTAGGCAACTAGATTAAGAGGTCTAAATATTAAGACCAGTTTTGGCTAAGGACCTCTTTGTCTTCCTTTAAATGTCTTGTGCCTAGGGAGTGTTTACCATTTGTGAGGCAGCTTTGTCTGCTCTTGCATTGTACATCTTATTACTCCATTGGGAAGTAGGATCACTTTCCTCTGGCCTTTTGCCTAAGTTAGGCTTTGCTGAATCAACCCTACTTTTCCTTTTAGAAAAGGTTGTTACATGAGATGTACTTGCAACTGTTCTTTTCCCATCAAAAATCAGTGAATGTTTGCTGAGTGTATTATGCTGCTTCTTAAACCACTTGTTGCTTTAGGATCAACTTTATCTGTACTCTTTTTCTTCCCCCTTCCTTGCCACCTCAGGTGCAAATCTGAACTCACAGTCTGCTTCTTCCCTCTTCTCTTCCTTCACCAGTCATCCATTTGACTTTATTTTACTTTAAATTACTGCATCAATTTTACAAGACATTTATCAAAACTAAAGAGATTTTTCCCCCTTTCTGGTAACTTTGAAAAGCAAACAGAGTTGCTATGTAGACACATGTGACTCCCTCAAAATGCTTTGTGTATGTGTGGTGTTTAAAGAAAAATCTTTGCAGTATCTAGGTTTGAGTGTCCTACACTCTCTTCACATGCTCCCTTTGCAACAAGTATACAAAAACAGTGTGTGCACTTAATAATATCAGTCCCCACCCATGGAGGAACAGTGCTTTCTAGAGATGCTTTTTAGTTCCAGTGTTGGCATACTACCTGAGGTTATTGCAGTTGTGGGTGCATTTCTTAATTCATATGGATCAAGGTGAACTGTCTTTTCTACTTCCAAGCTTTTAACAGCTATCTCTGTATTTGACAGACTTCCCAGAGTTAATTGCTTTCATTGTTAACTTCAGTGCCCCTAGCTGGGATAGGCAAGCCATATTGTATAACAGCTTCCCTATTTCACCTAAGTCTATCAGAGGGCTCTATTCACAGTAAGCACCAGGGTCTCCCTGTTTTCTTGAGGTCAGTTATATTGTCTTTTGAAAAGTGCATGCTTCATTTGAACAATTCATTGAATAGCAGATGGACTTAAATGATTTATAATAAAATTTTGATCCAAAGCTCAGGATACAAACAATAGTGGTAAAATGGAGTAGCATATAATATCATCAGACTAAATTTTGTGTAATTTTTCTGCGACCCAGATTGTATGTGTTTTATGTGTGTTTAAATAAATACATTAAATGCACATGTGTATACATACACACATATACAACAGATCCAAGACTGACTGACTTAATTTGAAATGGTTGCATCTGCAGTGTAATATGTRCTTCAGCCTTGATTAGGAATTGAAATTTAGTACAAGAGAGGAAAGGACTTAATGTGACAAATTCTTTTAGCTATATATCCCGGTATAGAGCACTTGGGGGATGGGATGGGGTGGGTTGGTGAGACAATCAGATCGGTAAATTGATTAAATGCTCCTAACCCTGTAATTTTGTGCATAGAGCACCCTGTGCTGTGGAAATAACTGTTCTTAGATTTTCATTGTAACTGGACTGTTCAGGTTGCCCAGAGGGAAAGAACATTCCTAATTCTAATAAAATAAACTTTTATTTTGTTATTCCATTAGTTACTTATGTTTATTTTAGAGTTTAAAAAATGACCTATAGGTGGCTACCAGCCACTTGTWTGTATTATTATGTACCTTATTCACTGTTCCTACTTAATATATCAGGATTTGGTTCAGTTTCTTTGCATTTAGGACTTGGTTAAATGAAGTTTCTAGAGTATTTTTTGAAAGCTTTCCAGTTTCTGTGTCTTGAACATTGAAGTTAGATTGCTGTTTGTGTTGTAACAGTGGTACACATTAGATGCTCAGTAGATCTTTGAATATCAGTTTTTTTTATTTTTTAATTTTATTTTGGTACTGGGGATTTAACCCAGGGGTGTTTTACTGCTGAGCTATATCCCCAGCCTCCCCCCMCCCCCCCCCCCCCCCCCCYYTTTTTTTTTTTTAATTTTGAGACAGTGTCTCACTAAGTTGCTTAGGGCTTTGGTAAGTTTGTGAACCTTGCCTCAAACTTGCYTCCTCCTGCCTATAGCCTCTTGAATCACTGGGATTACAGGCATGTATGTGCCACTGCGCCTAGCTGAATATCATTTTTTTAAAAAAGATAGGTACATTAAAAGTCATTTTCAGCCTCAAAACTCTTTTATGTTACTTCCATTTTGCTCACTCTTAGAAGCTGATATTTCTGATAAGGATGAAGCGGGAGACTTGTCTTGCAGAAGKTCTCAAAGTTGGAGAGTTATTGCTATTCTAAGTCCAGATTTTGGGGCAATTTAATTCGGTCTATTGCATCTATAATTAGAGTTCACGATATCCTTCAGTCTGGGACCAAATAGCATTGGACTTTACAGTAGTCTGTATAATTTTCTTATTCTAATCTCAGAATGGCCTAGTATTCAGGATCAGGAAATGTAGTTTTTTTACTATAGTGTTGTACTTTTAAATGACATCAACACTACATGAATGCCTACCACGGCTACTAAGAGAATATTGTTGTATACTATCTCTGATCTTAATTTGTCGTTGGCAGAATTTACAGCTAATATCCTATATTTTGCCTCATTGTTAAGAAACTAGCCATGAATAGAAGTACTTTTCATCAAGCAGATTAGGGTAATTAGTCCTCATGTAAAGGTGATCCTATGTGATGGTTGAAAACAAATGACTTAGCATGATTAGATTTGATAAATAATGCCCAATTAATTTATAGCTGTTTATCTAGTTATTTTCAGTATTAGTAATTTTGGGTAGTCTACTGGACCTTGATACAAGATTTATTACTGATAACTGAAAATGTACCAAACACAGATATGCATTCAACTTCAGCCTTCATCCTTGGAATTGGATGACCTTTGGAGCTTTAAGAAGATTATAAACAGTAAACATGGAAAGTCTTAGATCTTTCAGAATCAGGAAAATGTGGACCCCTCATTTTCATATTTCTTTGGGGATAAAGTTGGTGCATATTTGATTTGTTTTAAGGGATTTGCAACTCAGAAATGTTTTAATTAGAAATCAGTCAAATGTCCAACATAGAAATAAACAGAGGAAGACAACTTTAGAATTGTGTGTGTGTGTGGAATTAAATCCCATTTTTGGAGCAGCTAAAAATTCTCTAAGCAGAATGGAAAAGTTACTAATGTGAGATTCTTGCGAAAAGCGGTTTTCAGACAATAATATGATTCATGGGACCATGGATATGCTAATCCAAAGTCTCAAGTAGTTCAGAAGATTCAAACATATCTATTGACAAGAGTAAGGTCTGAGAAATGATATAAATTATATTTTGCTGTGTTTTAGGAAAATATTGTGACTGTCAAATAAAAGTGGAGGTGCTACAGGAGCATTGGTGCACACTTGCCATCCCAACTCTTTGGGAGACTAAGKCCTAAAGATAGCAAGTTTGCTGACCAATTTAGTGTGACTGGCTCAAAATAGAAAGGGCTGGGGTTGTAGCTCAGTGATAAGAATGATTGGCTAGCACACATGAGGCCCTTGAGTTCCATCCTCAGTCCAGGGGTGGGGGTGGACAAAACTACTTATAAATAATAAGCACATCGGTGCCAATTCAGAAAAAAAGAGCTGTAGACTCCCAAATGCAGAATCATACCTAGGAACTGGAACAGCCATTTTGATGCTTACACCGGCATTGTCTGCCACATCATTCTATCCAGTAGTTTCTGATTTTCCTGTTCTTTACCCCATAGTTTGAGGCTGCGACAGACACAGGTAGACAGAACCAATTAGATTCGTTGTGCAGGATCATCAACAAATGTGGCTTACCCCAGAGAATAGGAAGGCTGATCTTCCTGATCATAGTTAATTTTATATGCATCATAGAAGTTGTCTTACAAAACTCAAATGCCACAAAAGTTTTGTTTTTTAAGTAAATGTAAGTATTAGTATATAATAGGTCATTATGGCTACTAGTGTTTATTAAGTGTATCATGTCTGTTTCTTTAAATTCATAATCCCACTTTATAAATAAGAAAATAGAGAAAGTGCATAGTTCCCTGAAGTCATCCTGTCAGCAAGTGGTAGAATGAAGTTTCAAACCTAGGTTCCTTCAATCAGCACCCAAAGTTCTAGGCACTGGAGATAACAGCAGTGAACAAAGGATCTGCTGATTTTTCTGAAGCCCTTAACCATGATTCTACACCAAAAAAAAAAAAAAAAAAAAAAGATTGCCCAGGACTACTTAGCCAATTAACAGAGCTGGAGCCACATTTGACCACTGCACTATATTGCTTTTCAAATCTCCTTACCCAAAAGCACCGGCTAGAGGATTTTCAGCCGTAGATTGCCTTGAAAACTCAATAACCAATTCTTAATTGTAGCTCTTTTCTGTTAAAATCATGTGACTTTTGTTGTAACCACAGATATACTGCTTACACATGCACCCCCCAACCACATCTGGGAGACATTCTAGCAATTTAATGAGAGTTGAGAAGAAATACAAGGCTCCATATTTCCAAGCCCTTTCCGGAAGACCAGTCTTTACTTCAGTTAATATTGACTCTCTACGCCTGTAGTAACCTGAGTAATATTTGATATAAATTTCTCTTTATTAACTGTATATGTGTAAAAGTTTGATCTTTACCCTTCAAACCGCCTGCCTTTCACCACAGAGTATTCAAGTTTCAGGGTGAAAATTCGGAGTGTGGTTATAAAAAATACAAAACCTGTATACTACCCTCTTGTAGACAGTGTATTCCCTATAAAGAAAGCACTTAGGCTGAAAATGTGTTCCTATAGATTTTGGATTTCCTTCTAATGATCACAGTTTCCTTCTGTATGCATAATAACAAAACAGTGCCCTAGAAGCCACTTCAGTGCACATTAAATGGCTATTCGAATTTTGAGTCTAGGCCTTGTGCAATGTGGATCAGGCTCTGTGGAATTGGTTAGCAATATTGAGATTCCTGACAGTTGAGCAAACAGAGCAGGATTTTGTCCTAAATTTTTTTGGAAACCCTATCCAAAGTTGCTACTTGAATGTCCTAGTTTTCTCTTGCAGGGAAAATCTCTTGCTATGTGTATTCCCATCTTTGCAGATCACCATTTTCTTGGAGAACAGCATCATAAAATGATAATCAGCATTTATGGAGCACCCTTTTGTGAGCCTACTTGAGCAGTACACATCCTTATGGAATGCTCTAAAATTGTTCTTGCACCTGCTCTCAAGTCATTTATAATCTAATAGCTGGTCTTCCTGGTATGAACAAAGTTGTTTGCTTGCTAATAAATTCCTACCCACATATCCTGACTTGTGGTTCATTTTTACCTAATCTAGGGCAAATGCTAGAGTTTCCTAATAAGGGATGAAACTGACCTGAGTGTCCACCTGCTTTAGTAAAGATGCTTGGTTTGAATAGGAAATATTTTGTATCCAAAAATCCTTATATTAATTTGGAATATTGTAAAAGTCTTGGCAGCAGATGCCAGAAAATATGCCTAATGGTTGGTGATAGTGTTTTGCATGACTTTAAAGAATTAGTTTTTACCCTTTCATTCTGACCAACTTGCAATAAAGTAGGCTAAAAAATGTATTTTTTAAAGAACTCTGTGATGTATTCTTGTAAAAAATTTAGTACAAGTCAGTGCCTTACAGTGATAAAATGTTTGCACACCAACTAATGTAAATATGATTGTTGGTTCTGTAAAATTGATTTACAGATTCCAAATGCTGTTTTGGGGGAAACTGGATTGTGTGCCCTCTAAGATAAATTTCATTTTCAAGCGCCTAACCCTGAACAGATAGACACCCCCAAATCACTGAATTGAGCAGATCAGATAGGTCAGCAAARAGTTGGAAATGGATGTCCCCAGAATAGGAATTCTTGACTTGTTTTAAATTGACATAAATTTATTTATAGTAAATTGCATACACATCTTAAGTGTTCAGTTTGATGTTTTGGCCATGGTGCACATCTGTGTTATAACCACCCAGAAGAAGCTATAGAATATTAAAATTAAGTTCTCATCAAGTACCTTTAAAATCTTCTTTGAGCCCCATCCCACCCCAGTGATCACTTGATGGTTTTTAATCACTGATGATTTGTTTTGCCTGCTTTTGAATTTTATATAAATGGATCATACAACACATACTCTTGTATCTGGTTTCTTTCATTTATAACACGTTAAAGACTCATCCATATTGTGTGTATCAGTAGATTGTTCTTTATTGCTGAATAGCATTTCATTGTATAAATATACCCTAATTTGTATATCTCTTTTTTTTTTTTTTTGAGTAGGCTGTTTCTGGTTTGGGGCAATTAGAGCGTTTTTTGTTTTTGTTTTTTTTTTTTACTTTTTTGTAAATACATGTTTTCATTTCCCTTAGATAAATACCTAAGAGTAAAAAATTTATAGGTGATATGGTAAGCTTGTATTTATACAAAACTGCACTCCATTTCTCTACAGTGGTTTTACTGTTTTGTATGCCTGTCAGTGATATATGAAGTTCCAATTGCTTCACATATGTCAACATTTCCTATTAATGTTTTTTTTTAATATTTACTTTTTAGTTTTAGGTGGACACAGTATCTTTA